ACTGGCTGGAAGATCAGGTTAAAAAAAACAGAATTAACTGCATCAAGAATGGAGAAGCAAAACACATGGCAAGAAATCAAAAATCTGAGACACTGTCTCCGGAATGAAGATGATCTCTAGACTGGCGATAAAACATCACCCCCTGTGAAGCTGTGCCAACTTGTGTACAGCAAAACCAATCCTCTAACAGTGGCTACCTTTTTTAGCTTTGCACACTTACAGCATTCTCCAAACTTCCTTGCTCTTAGAAAGTTCAGGAGAGGACAGGGTAGCGACCATCTTTTTGAGGTGCAGCTGATTGACTTTTGAAAATGAGAATGACAAATATGCGCTTGATAGCAGATATGCAGATAAGCATGAATGTCCTACTCAGCATTTAGCTCCAGGCTCAGCTCCCGATTATAAGGGAAACTCAGGATCTAGGATGTATTTCCACAAAGGGTTGAGACTATAGAAGTGCTGAATACCCTCAACTTCCACCCAATTTAGTGAAAGTGGAAAGATTTCTAGGCTGTCCCTTAGTGGACTTAATCATCAGATATTCTTCTGCAGTTGTGCATACGCTACTTGTATGAAAGCTGCACACTGATGTTCAGAGAAATGACTGGGAGATTTCACAGCAGTCTGTCACAGCAAAAAAGAACAGAGCTTCCACAGAGCTTGATACCAGATAGAGATTTAATTAGATGAGAAATAGCTTTCAAGTGAACATCATGGGAACCTCTTTTTCAGAGCTTGCACTGTAATTATAAGAACACACTTTTTCATTACACTTTCTTCATGTCTTTTACCTGAATATAATGGAAAACTGCAAATTTGCATAATATCTCTGGGAAATGAAAAGGAATCATATTTCTGTTTTTCTGCAAAAGGCGGAAGTCAAATGTCTATCTGTATAGAAGGAATCTGCTTCATAGGCTTCAGAAACACAAAACTTGTGAACTAAAAAAGAACAGATAACAGTGAAAAGATGGAGTATTTCTTCCCACAGCTCATGACTCTAGGAGTTCACTATACTTAGATCCATTTCTAACATCTAATCTTTAAAACATTTATGCAGAAATGGTTGAGCTGGCCAAACTCTTATATTTTACCTATTATTGTTAAAATTGTATGTATGGAACACCTATCTCTAGGGATTCTCAGAGAATTTTACAGATATGAATTAATTAGTCTTCCTCCCATTTCATTAAGTACTTGAGGATCTATATCCTATTTAAAAATAAAGTAAGCAGGACATACAACAGACTTCTATTCCTACTGAATTCACTGGTAGCCCAGAACAGTGTAAGGCTTAAGTTACTTTTTGAATGTTATACTGAAAAATTGCACTGGGGATTTGAACAAAGAATCACATTCCTGACTCTGTATTTTGGTCACAATGAAATCTCTTCCTTTTTTACAAAAATAAAATTCTCTGTACCGTATAAAATTATCAACCAGTATATACAACCACCACCAATCTGTCTCCTAATTTAGGATTAATTTTTTCTTAGGGAACCGTCAACCCAAATACATGCATTTAAAATATAATAATCTATTTTTACTACAGAAAAAAAGTTTAGGGTTTGGGGGATTTTTTTAGTTAAATTATGCATTTATGGAAAAATAATTCAGGGGCATGTAGGGTGAGATACCAGATCTGTTTTAAAAATTAATCTCACTCTACAATTATTTGAATCAATACACGTAATAGACGAATAAGTATAACGTATGGATTTTAACATATTACTCTTGACAGTAGAGCAACACATATTTAAAGGAAGATCTAACAACCGTTACTTTAATGTGAGAAGAAACATCCAATCAAATATTAAAAATGAGCCAAGAGATGGTGATTATTTATACTTTCTTGTGCTCAAGGGTTTTAACTACCACTATTTCAAGGAGAATGTGTCCTCCAGAAGGAGACAGAGAAGAAAATTCCATTTTCCAGTTTTATGCATATATGAAATAATGCTGCTAAACTGATTTAAATACTAAATAAAACTGCTGCCTCTGTGCAAATTGCAGCTCATCTAAACCTACTTACAGTGGTACAACATATCTGCTTGAATTCTGCTGATACAAAATGCCTTTGCTTAAGTCCATAATATCTTTGATTTTTATAAAGTTAGTGAAGGCTAACTCCTTAGTGCTTGTTGAATCCAAGAAGAACGTATACATGCCACTCCCAAAAGACTTCACTAGTGTTATGTCACCCAAATCAGATCTTTAACACATAACCAATCTTGCTTTGGGAGGGATGAGGACAAACAAATCAAGTCTCACTACTGAGCTTATTCCAGACAGAAATGTGTCATGAATTAATCATACAACCAAACTCTTGTAACACAACTGGAATGGAATACTGTTTTTTGTTTAAAGGCTGCCACAATCCCTGTGGGACATCCAAGCTGTTAACATCTCTGCTCACAAATAATATTCAGAGTTCTGAAGGGATATGGAAAATGCCAAAGTAGCTCCCCTCAAGAGATGCAGGGCCAGAAATGAAAATATTTACAAAACAATAAACTCAGAGGGAACCCAATCTTTTTCCAAGCTGTCAAGCAAAGAAAAAAAACCCAACCAATACAGCTTCATGAAAGCAAATGACCCTGCACTGAGAGAAGAGCACCCAACAGCTGATCTTTTTGCGTAAAGAACTCAGTGCTATCTGGATGCCAGTTAAGACATGAGGAGGATGGATAACTGACTGGAGATCCCAAAACTTCAGTCCTTCTCTTTAACTTATCATACTGTATACAAAATAGGTTTCTAGTAGTGCAATACAGGACACAAGATTTCCTTCACAGTTAACATAGCAAAATGCAAGACTATTGTCATCAAACAGAAGTAGAATGCCAGAGGCATAGAGTAAAAAGAAACACTTTGGCCCTTATCTGGTCCTTTCTTTCAGACAGGCCCAGTACAAGCTCTTGTTCTTCACCTCATTTGCCTTTCCTCTCCTCCTGCTCCGGGGAGATCCATAGCTGTTCACAGCTGGGATCTCTGGGGCACAGACACATCAAGCCTCTCACCCAGCCTTGTACAAGGAGGTCACTGGCAGGACCAGTGCAGATCTTGCAGAAACTAAAGACTGCATTTGCCTTAGATGAATTGACCACATGGGAGGAAGATGTGTGTGTCTGTACATGATCAGGTGCTGAGGACTCTGAGAAACTCTGAGTGGTCCACAGGTGACTGGGAAGAAGGAGGGAGGGTTCATAAAACTGGTTTCCACTAAAAAGATCAGACCATCCTGGATTAGGGGAACTGGACAGAGGAGATTTGGTCTTTGTCCTATGAATCCATCAGTAAGGGGAATGCTGGGCACCTGGACAAAACAGAATGGGCCCTTTGCTTATGGTTCCATTGATCAGGGAATGCAGACATTGGGGTGGAAAGGCCTGGGCTATTTTGTCATGATCATGGGAATTTAGGCACTTGCATTGCATAGCCTGGGCAATCTGCCCATAGTTCTATCAAACAAGGAAATATGGGCACCTCTGATCTCACCAAACAGGGCTGTTTGCAGCTTTAACTAGCTGACAGTATAAGAGAAGAGAACTAAAAGAAAAAAAGAACAGATCTAACCTAACAGAAAATGCTGTGGACAGGTGGGAGATGTACCACTGCCTTTGCTGTTGTACTGCCAGGTGTAGCTCTGTGCAAAGCCTGGCAGCTGGTTCTATTAGTTTTAGGGGGTTTATCTCCCCATGTGCTATCCGCATGCAACAGAATTATCTTCCAGGTATGTACCACAAGCTCTTTTCTGGCTCCTGCAAACAAAAAGGGGCAAAAGTACTTTACATGCTGCAAGGATGCAAATTGGTCAGTTCACTAGAAAGAAAGAAAAAGAAAAACACAGAGAGAGAGAGAAAGAGGGAATCCCTATGGAAACAAAGCTTTCACTCCACTAAGGGAGTTAGTCAGACAGACACTGTCACCACTTATAAAGCAGGGCCAAAGAGCCCTGAGGGCAAGTCCCTCTGCTATGATGGAAAAACTTAACCAGAGGAGAAAATAGCTCTCAAATTGGAGTTAGCATACCCATAGAGGACATCTAAGCCTGGGAACAAATGTAACCAGCTCTCTAGTTCACTGGTATGGACTGTGATGCAGCCTTCTCTTGTCAACCTCCCTCAAATGCAACAGAAACAAACACACCCTGAGAGATACAGAAGGGTAGAGCAGTGCATGAGCTAAAATACACAAGTCACTGTTAAACATCAAACTAGAACTGTGAAACTCAAAACCAAACTGTTGCTGCTCTGGAGAACTATCAAACAGCATAAAAGCTGTGACAAAGAGTAACAACCTGCAGATAGTCAGTAGGCACAAAGCACCTTTGGTCCTGCGAGCTCACAGCAGTGTAACTACTTCTCTTCTCCTAATAAATAAACCAGCTGGCTTTGTTTGAAGACAGGGTTCTCTCAATGCTTACTCACCCTAAACCAAGCTGTGTTTTCTAGCACATAGTTCAAGAGGCCAAGCCAAAAGTCTGATCACAGTTTCCACTTCTTTCACAGATCCCCTTAGTGTCTTAGTTTACCTGACTCTAGAACTCATGCTAAAGCCATGTTCCTGAAATGCTTTGAGAAATTTGGATGGCATTAATGCTGCATCTATGCCAATAAACCTTGGATTTCTCTGAGTGACACTGTTGTCACTTGGGTCAGAAACACAAGGAAGTAACCAGCACTTGATGAGTTACCACATACTGGCTGAACTGCAAGAAGTGACTGGGCTCAGTAACCCCAGGGAAGGATGTTTAAATTAAAGCATTTCCTATCTCCCACCTGAGACAGGATGAAAGCAGGTACACAGTCACTTGCTGTGGCTTAGCCAGCTGGTGTTAACTCAGCTGTGATGTTCTGGGATCACTCACAGCCCCACAACTGCTTATGCAGAGTCTTCTGAATAGGAACTATTACTTTTTCCTGAACATTGCCTTGGAATGTTTGCCATGTGTGGAGAGTCCTGTATCTATTCTTGGATGTGTATCTTCTGTCTTTCAGGTGATTTATCGTGCCTTAAGTCCAGCTAACAAGATTGAAGACCCCTATAGCCCTGAGGCTCAAGATCTCCTGAAACTCACCAATCTTCGCCTCCTTTTGTTAAAAAGACAGGAATGTCCATGCCATGGTGCAGGACTGGTAGAGAAACCTCAGAGATTTGCCCACTATGCTATTTATGACCTGATCATCCGGGGAAGCTGCTTTTGCAACGGGCATGCAGAGGAATGTGAGCTTGCCAACAGGTCGGGAGTCATGGAGAATGTGGTGAGTTCTAGACATTCAGTAACTTCCTAGAGTGTTACCTACTTGTGCTTTCTCAGCCTAACTGCATATTTTGTGTATGATCCCATCCAAGCCTCCCTAAGCCTACCTAAAAAAGGGTAGCACTGTCAATCCACTTTAGTGAAACCTAAACTACTCTGGGAAGAGATTTCCTGTAACCCTCACTGCAGTTCCATGTATATTAATTGCATTGCTAGAGATGGGTCCTTCTAAAAACTCTAGACCTCAAAAGAAATTGTGAAGAGGATTTGTAGTTGGAACAGAGATCCAACCCCAAATATAGTGAATGAAATCTCCTGCCTATATGCCTGCACAGAACTGAACTCATGTCTTTGATGCAAAGACTGCCCTGACCAGAATTTCAGCATCAGATCTTGAATCTCAGATTTTCTGAGTTTGTGAGACATGGGCGGTTCTGTCATACTTAGGGTTTCAGCATTTACTTTCAGGATTTCAGCCTTCTGTGGTTTTGTTACTTTCACTCCATAGAAAGAAATGTTCAGGATGTGAAAATAATTTCCATTCTCCCTCTTTTACCTATTTGGCTTAAAATAAGTTAGAATTTTTCTTTTTTTTTTTTTTTTAAAGCTAAATCTTGTAGGAAGATTATTCTATAGTACTATGACTAGCCCTTCCCTGTTCAGTCCCTTATATGTGTTTGACCCTGGATGTGCAGATATAAGTTGGTTTTGTATGCATATTCAGAAGTTGTGATTCAGTTGTGATGCCTACTGTCTCCTTTTTGTTTTAGCTACAAGTATATTAACTGTAATAACAGTCACAGGGAAGTGATGGTGATCAAATATCCAGGTACATCTAAATACATACATCACAGACAGAATTCAATCCATTTTAAGCTAGTCAATGGCTCTATTGGTTCCAGAAGGCTGTCTCTGTAATGGGTTTTGAAAACCAAAATAACCTTTAGAATTTTAGTCCCTGGTGCACTCTGACATAATGGACTCAAGAAATACCTGCTCAGCTAATTCTGTCCCTTTAGATATGTGGTACACTTGACATTTTGGCTTACTTTCTTCTGGAATGTGTATTCATTGTCTTCTTTTCAACTTTTCTAGGTTCAGAGGTAGATATTGTAAGATAATTAGGACTGTATTAGTTTCACAATATTTGCAAAATAATTTCTGAATCTATTCCATCCGTGGTATAAACGTAAGATTCAGCTACAGTATTCCAGCATTGGGTGATATTATCAGATTTAGTTAACTATAAATATAGGCTCACTTAATGCATAACTGTGTGGAGAAAAGCTCTTTAAAGAGTGCATCCCCCTATTGCAAACTGTTAAATATACACATAGTGAAACCAAATAGATGAACACTACATGAATACAGCTGGTAGAAGAATAAACACTCTGCCCATCAGAAAAGGAAAACACAATATTGTTTATATTATTGGCATAACCATTATAAACCATGACAAATTTTTTTTCTCCACTAGTCACAAGGGAATAGAATCTTTTTGTGCCATCAATGACTTCATGGGGCAGAAAGTGAAATAGTTTTGATGAAATGCACTTCATGAGTGACTCACGTCCCAGGAGACAAGAGGGTGGATGCATCACATCATTCACACAGGCACAGTCTTTGCCTAAGCAAGGATTCACATGCAGCAGTGAGAAGAGTCAGAAAAGCCTTCCAGATGTTTAACTACCTCTAGAATCTAGATAAGGGCTGGAAAAGATGATAAGTGAGATGGTCTGAGTCCTCACATAAAGGTATGATCAAGCATACCTAAGCTATTCAGTAGTGAATGCTTGTTGAAGTAGTTTTTGAAAATCTCTGATGAAGGAGATTCAATAGCAACCCTCAGGAGTTGTTCCCATTTTGACATTGTGAAAGCTCTCCTTTAGTGCCTGCCTAAATAATCTCTGCTGCAAATTAAGGTGATTCCTTCTGTCCCCTCTCCCCAAAAGATCATAGAAAGTAGTTGATCCTCATGCTGCAGATATGATTGGAAGGTTCTTACCATATCCTTCCTTAGTTTTTGGTTTTCTGTACTAAACAGAGAAGTGTAAAACCTTAAGTGGTCAGAATTTAAAATTCTACTCCCAGGTGCCACAAGTGTGGAGTAAAGATGATCATGGTATTTTGCTCCTTGTTTCTTTTGTCATTACACCCTAGCTCTTTTTCAAATACACAGTAAAAATCCACTCCCCACTCCTTTTACATTTTATCTAATACTTACCAATGATTATATTGTGGTGGTGAAGGGAGAGCTCACATAAGTACAGATCTCAGGATTTGGGTTACATAGCTAGCATAAGGGAGTTTTTATAACTTTGCATCTTGCAATATAGTAATCTCCTTGCCTACATGGCGAAGGAAAAGGCAGTGTTGAACACCAGTGACATATTTTATACCAGCCAAACTACATTACAGCAAAAATCTTTGTCATCTTGCAATTTCTTGGCAGAGACAGGGAAGCTGTTCTACTTTCAGTCACATGGTGACTAAAACAGGATGGGGAAAAGAGATGTTAGAAACAAACACTACATGTCCAGAAATAATCTGATTCATTCCACTGGCCGCATCTAATATTTAATGAACACATGGGCAGAGCAAGTCTCAAGACACACAGTTTTTAATGTGACTAGTGTGGGTGATATCACAGCAAGAAGGCAGAGCAGCTTCATGTTTCCTGGGCTGCTGTCAAGTAATTAAATAAAATGCTGGAAAAAAAAAAAACAAACCTCCACAGAAAGGTTTAAGTGGTAGAAGTTTCAGTCTCTTAAGAGTTCAAAGTCCTCCTACAATGTATTTATTTTCTGTAGTTAACAAAAACAAAAGCAAGTCCATGTAGAAAACAACTGTAATTGTTTGCTGTGGGATAAGCCCCAAAAATGAGATCATTCTGCACTTAGATCTTGGAAGAAACACAATTGTGCTAACTTGTAAATCTGCTCTTCTTACTCTTGAAAGAAATGTGGAATTTGTCATACTTCTAATTTGTAAAGAAATTTGTAATACTTCTAACACTGCTAGACTGATACTATATGGAGGCTAAATAATGGAATAAACTAAAGCAAATTTCTTGACACTTTTGAACCAACACTTTTCAGCACCATTTTTGAGAGACTAGATGATCTATGACTACCAGATGATCTGTCAATGACCATTTTATCTGTGAATCTGTCAGTTCAGTCATGACAACCCATCCAGCTTCTGGCTTCTCCACTTCCAATAAGAAATGCAGCTATATGAGAAATAATGTCACAGACACCATGAAAAGATACAAGAAAACTGCAAATTGTAAAACCAACCTCCAAACAGTACATCATTCCTCATAGCTTCAAACCTTAGATAGTTTCATGCATATTCTCTCTGGTCATAAGTAATTTGTGAAAATACTGAGTGCAGCAAGGTTCAAAATAGACTTCCATAGGATCCAACAGACATGTCCTTTGACTTCTTATTTTGGCAGCAAACCAGTAATAATTACTTCTTCAGTGTGGCTCTTTTTTTGAAGAAGCCATGCATCCACCTCAATACAACTTACCTAGATCATGCTTCCCTTATTAACTACTGAGAGTATCAAGTCAGACAGGAGAAAACCTTTGTGAAATGAAGATGGAAGCTGTAAACAATAGGCAAGAAACTTCTGGACAAACATCTTTAATTTGGGGTTTGTTGCTATTGACAGTGATGTTTTCTTGTTTTCTATTTCCTTTCCTCAGACTAAGAAAAAGAGACACAGATGTGTCATACTCAACTTAAATAGCTTCTTGTGATAGCTAAGGACAAAATTCTCCTTTCTGAATTTCACAGCCTTTATTATTCAAACTCGTAATTACAAGTAGCTCCTTTGTCAGTGAGGGAAATTATTGAGATTGCACAGAAACTACAGAGAAGCATTTTCTTTTAAATGGAGGGCCTTATATTCTGTTATAAGGGAAACAACTGTCAGGACCTGGCCACCTGAATATATCTAGTCTTCTTCTGCAATTGCATGCAATGGAACATAATGCTGTCCCAGGTATTGCTGTTGCAGAATGTACAAAGTTTTGTCTTACTCCACAGTAAATTATTTCTTTATTAAGCTCCAACAAAGTTAGCAAAAGCTGTCAGGTTTAGGATTTTCTTTGATGACACATTTTAGCTTGGTACTTCCAAAACAAAGTTTACAAAGCAAAAAGTGCACATGGATGGAACACAGAACCTAGACCAAAGTCCCTTCTATTTGCCAAACATTTCACAATTCTTTCTAGTCCATGAGAAGTAAGTATGGACCGAGGAAAGTGAATGTAGGGTTTGTTACTTGTTAATTATTGGTATCTGCACTGCCAGGAAATTCTTACAAGTTGCCTCGGATGTTTCTTTTGCTTATCCTGTTTACTCTAGACTCCCTGTGGGTCTGATCCTCCACAATGAAGCAAATGGAAAGTTTTCCACTTACTTCACAGGGAGCAGGATCTGGTCCTCAGTAAGATTCCTTGTTTGGCATAATGGAGGTTACATAATGTAAAACTTGTTTTTCTACAGCCATTTCTAGGTGACTTGACTGTCGTATCCCTTCCAAATATTACCTCCTCTTCAAATATCTTGTGTAGTTCTACTGATAATCCCCAGCTAAGTTTTCACATTATCTGATCCAAGCTGTGCCAGTCTGTATGATGTCCAACACTCAGAGATGCAGGTGTTCTCTGTTGTAGTTGGCAACTTGAAGAGTAGGTTTTGTTTAAGAAAAAGTTACTCTGTGTAGATCAACTATGTGAGTAGCATCAGGAATGTTAAAAAAATAAAAAATTACAAGAGCTTCTAGATCACATCAGAATTATAGAAACAGATCCCTGTACTGATTTTTTTCCAAAAATAAAAACTGACTATGGACTGCAAGCTCTGCCCATAACAATCTGAAAACGAAGATCATACAAATTTCGGAGCAAAAAGTACTCATGAATTACATGAACTACATTGAAAGAAAGTGGTGTTGTGGACACCTGTGCTACGCACAGTGAACCAAAG